TCATTATTTTTGCATTCATCTTATTTTCGAATGCTGCTCCCATTCGAACGTTGAATTGCGACTCGGACGTTAAAATAAAAATCACCTAAAGAATTACTACTAAAAAAATTAATATTGAAAAATATTGAAGGATTCTGAAATAATATCTTAAAGTATAACCTACAATTTATAGACTCCTTAAAATATGTCTAAAATATATATTTAAAAATTTTTTTTTTTTAAATTTTTACTTATATAATGTTCTTAAGCGGCCTCATCTGATTGAATCATTCGTACGGCTGTCATGCATAGCACTAAGACCGTTCAGTAATATCTAAACTGTCAGCTGTATACATCCACTTCCTAAGATCAATTGTGAAAAAGTCTTTTGAGTAAGTAAAGCTTGAGGGTCTTCACAAATATCATTCGTCTTTCAATATTGTAGACTGGCGATATAGAATCATATTGAACTATACCAAATAAGAGAAACCGCATCACTCGATGACTACCAACAACAAAAACAACTAAAATGGATTGCACAAGAAGCACTAAGTAAAAATAATGACTTAATCAAGATGTTAACATTCACCACCACTTCCAATAGTAGGAAAAGACCATCAATGCGTGAACGAACGATAAAAGCTACTAAATTTGAGAAAACTGTTTCCTTAAATAATCATTTTTAATAGACAGCATTTTTCAAGCAACATGAAAATGTTCGATTATAGATCACACGACAGTTTTTTATGAAGAAATGTCATTCCTACCTCTACTAGTTCCCCTTAAGGCGAAAGCGAAATATATATTTATGACCGAAAGATGGAATGAAAGAACAGCATGATTGAAGTTTTGTAAATATTTGCATAGACATTTGCTATTTACTTAATTATCGCGTTAGAGAAAATGATATGATACCTCTCTTAAAATTTAAATCCAACAAAGTTATTCTTTATAGTAAATGAATTGTGTTAAAAATGGACAATTAATTAGAAAGGGGAATTTCACACGGCGAAAGTTAATCAAAAGCAAACTTCAGAAAATAAACGAGCAAATATGTTTGAGAACAAATTGTTCCTTAATTGCCAAATATAACGCGGATGCAAATTAATGAATTATTAACAATGATCAGCATAGACTATTGAAAAGAACAAAAAACTTAAAAAAAAAAACTTTATGATTGGTTCAAAATTAGTCGTCGTCTGTTGCATATAACTTCGAACTAACGCCGTTGTGAAAGCCATTAATCAAAACCGTCTAAAAGGCAACAGGAAAGAAAAAAAGATAGAAGCAAAATTAACGAATTGCCATAGAATAAAGAAAATAAATCAGTAGCGAAATATGTTCACCTATACCATGGGAATATACGACGTTAAGTAATAATTTTGCATATTATACTAAATTCCGGAAAGTTTGTACGCACGGTGAAAATTCTGGATTTCATTTTTAAACATTTATTCAATAAAAAAATTAAATATTTGATATCCGATGTCTTTATTGTTTGTATCGAAAATCCCAAACACAAGATCAAGCGTTGATATAGGTTTTTAACAAAACATATATCAATACACATATCTGGAAGGGGTGGATACATTTTAAATTTTGTTTGGTTTAAATATCTTATTTTGGTCCTAAGCTCAATTAGTTTGTATATTTTCCGAGTGTTAATTTGAAGGGGTGCTCTTTCAAATGTAGCACAAATTAATCCTTCATTACCTAAGTGACATTAAGCCAAGCAAACTAGTGCTTTCCACAAATGGATGAACGGATGTGCACTCTGGGAAACCGTGTGCCTTGAGCGCCTATTAGGGATTTTAACACAACCTAGATCTCAAGCGGAACTCGTACATATGATAAATCGCTAAAGATGCTGGGAAAATGGTCGGTCCCTTGTAGCACTGAAGCCATTACCTGACTCCTTCTATCTTCTACATTTACAGGAGTTGGCTAAGGCCAGGCCGTAAATAAAGTACAGCTGCTATACATAAAGTCAAAGTAGGTAATCAAATCTATATTTCAATGAAACGTTTTCCATTTGTCAAATTTCGTTGTCGAGATTTTATATTCTATTTTAAATGCATACACACACACACAAACACAAACACTCATGTGTTTATATATGTTTCAGTTGATTTAGATATGCATACAAGTATATATACAAGATGCGTTGGATAAATTGCCGTCTAAATTATGCAAAAAATTAAAATAACTTGCATTTCATTTTGACAGATATATTTACCAAATTTACACAAAACATATCTTGAAATACTAAAGATTTAGATTTATTCAATAAAACCGCCATTTGCTTCAACCAGGGCCTCCGGACGAATTTGGAAATTTCTGCATCTCTTCTGGACTGTCTCCTTGTTTAAGTTGGTGAATGTTGCCATAATCCTTGCCTTGAGCTCTTTATTACTAAACAAGGACTTTTTTTTTATCCCTTTCTCAGTTGCACCCGACACATAATAATCAAAGCGGTTGCAATCCGGGGAGTTAGGTGGCCAGATGTAAGGGGCGATACCGTCGCAGACATTGTCTGATAGCCATGACTGCGTTCTCCTATTTGTGTGGCATTGGGTTTACCAGCAGTCACCCGCATGACTCAGGGGAGGACTGTCTTTTCAAGGCACTTGATGTAGAACTCCGTGTTAAATCCGAGGCACTGTGGGAAGATGAATGATGGAAGTATAACGTCGCCATTACTACTGATCACTCCAAACACAATGATGTTGGCAGGATTTCTCATCCATCTCTTTCCGAATCATCTACACTGTCCCCAGATTGACACTGAAATGTTCGTATTAGAGCTTCCTGAGTGAATGTCAACTAATACAGCATCCCGTTTCCGACTTTCTGGCGGAGTGAATTGTGTCATGGCTCTCTTTTTCTCAGAGATGGTGCCCATCTGACTTTCCTATACATGTGCAGCCGACAAAAGCAATCAACGTGCCCGCGAAATTCAAAGTATAATATGGCGCACCCTGCATGTATTCATATATGTCTGTGTACGTTTCTGCATGTCTGTCTGTCCATATTTGTGTCCATTAACTGCAGTTGATAGACATCAGTTATATGTCATACGTAAAGGCTTAGGCGATCATGTATCTTTCGATACATAACTTACGAGGCAGATTTTTTCCCGCAGTAGGTTGTCATTTCTCTGCGGTAGACCAGTTGCCATCCAAGGCTATAGATCCCGGTCTGTCCTGCTATTTACTCATCGCTGGGAGGTGAAGAATAGGATCCATACCTTTCCCAAGAGTATTAGCACGTAAATGAATGTAATGGATTCAACTGGAACTCGAACTCAGCTCTCTGATTCCTCAATCCCCGCCGTTGTTCATAAGAATACAGAATAAATATGTTTTGATCGTTAGCATTTTGGTTGAATTCATTAGGCTCTCCCATTCGCCTTATAATAACCTTTTGTTTCTTACTTGAAAACTCTAATATGTTAAGCATTTGATGTAAAATGCACATCTGAAAATGTCATTTATATCTATGTTTCTTTAATTTATTTTCGTCATTTTCCTTGTTTATCCTCTTGAAAGTGTATTCTAAAGAAATCAGTAAGGCTTCTTCCGCAACATTGCGACCTACTCAACTTAATTGTATAAGAAAACGTTTTTTAATGATCTGCCGTCTTTCAAGGACTTTGTAAAATTCACAAGGAATGTAAATTACAGTGGATCAAGAAATCCGTAATTTAACCTCAATATATTGATCTGAACTTTTCATTGTTTAATGCACGACCATTCATGACTAAAATATATTTAGGTGCAAGCTGTATAAGATTGAGATATAAATAGTTTCTCTATCCAAATAATATTTTATCTTCATCAGTATGCAACAGTCATATTGGTAGGCACATTTTAAGTAAGGGTACTTAGTAATTTGAATAGATCAATATAGCTACATAACTTTATTATCATTTCACCCCAAGCAAAGCAATAAAGCCACTAAGAACATCTTGCGTTTAAAATAGTCTGATAATTCGTTTAGCCAATCACTGAAACCGAAGTCTATCTTCACCCCAAGCAAGGAAATAAAACCAGTAAAAGCATGAAAGAATATTAGAAAAAGAAAACATTATTAAGAAGACTGAGCAAAAAAGAAGAATTGAGAGGACAGGATTGATATTGTATTTAAATTTTTGAAAATCAAACTTGACTGAAAAAGTTCCACAGGCGCGAAGTGCGAAAAAAAGAAACAGCACGGACGATTACATGTAGCCATTTCGACTGCAAAAGAATGAAACTTGTAGGTAATTTAGTACTACGCTTAAATTCATGAAGACAAGGAAGTAAAGAAGAAAGCTCATCAGAACAATTAACATGAAACTGTTTATAGAAAAGAAACAGGGAAGCTACGTGTAAGGTGAGGGGAAAATAACTGACGCCGAATTGCCAGATCAGGGCCAATAACACTATTCATTCTCTAAATACATATCGGAAGCCAATAACACTATTTATTCTCTAAATACATATCGGAAGCATCAAACCAGATTTTGGAAGAAATATTCAATAGATAGACGAAAGTTAGACTATATTGATGTCTAAAATATATTCTGTCGAGAAAAAAAGGTATATATATATATATATATATATAATATATATATATATATATATATATATATATGAAAAAAATATACGGAAAAAACAAACAAAAATCCTAATATGCAATTATGCTGTTTTAATGTTAATATAATGTCAACGTCGGACGTTTCGGTCTAGTAGACCATCTTCAGGACATATTCATAAAACATAATTAACATAGACCATATTCAGTTCAACATGAAAAAGACGATGGACATAAAAGCAAGACCAATCCAAACAAATTACTGAAATCTTTTATAAGAATACTGTCGGATCTATATCCATATATAGACAAGGAAATAAAGAAGAAAGCTCATCAGAACAATTAACATGAATATGTTTATAGAAAAGAAACAGGGAACATATATATATATATATATATATATATATATATATATATATATATATATACATATACATACATAGATATCAAAGAGTATGAGATAGATAATTAAGAGTCGAGATAGATAGATAGATAGATAGATAGATAGATAGATAGATAGATATTAGGTTAAACATGAATAGATTTTGCTTTTCTTTCTCAGTTTTATTCTTCATCAAGTAAATTAAATATATATTTTTGCCAATGAGACAGCCCTTCGATAAGTTTTAAGTAGAATTACGCAGGTTTTGATTAGAAAAAACATTTCGATGGGCTCTTGAATCTCTTCCTCATTAGAGAATGTTTTCCACAAGCGTTTCTTAGCGACTGCAAAAAAGTAATAAGCGGTCGTTGTGGCCTGAAGTGGTGGTGAGTAGAGAGGAACAATCGAGTTTCTATAAATTTCCTATATAAATATTATACTTGCTGTATGAAGCAAAAGAATTATTATTAATATGTCCATATTATTTAATGAAACATCCTTGAATGAAGATATGATGCTCATATAAATATATATATATATATATGTGTGTTTGTGTGTGTGTAACAATTGAGGGGCAGTGTGGCAAACTTGGACATGAAAACTACAAATATATATGCTTCTTTCTGTCTCTCTGCGAACTACGATTAAAGCAAAAGTAGCCACGAAAAGAAACAGGCACACAACTGAAAAGGAAAAAAATGAAGAAAAATGAAAGAAAAATGAAAGTATCGAGTCGGGGAAATAGAAAGCGATGGATAAAAGACACAAATATATATCAGACAAAACTTGTCCGACGTCTATATTTTATTTCAACCTGAATTAAACGTAGCATAAAGTTACTTTGTGGATTGTGGGATCAACTATCACTGGCGATGATGTTCTAATTTGACTCTCAAGAACATTCAGGGTCTGTCACAAAAGCGCGTGTACAAAAGCTATGCGTACCTAGCGGATGCCTATATTTGAGTAGTCGCTTCATTTTTTTTCATCCAATGTCCTAAATATTAATCTCATTAAAAAAGATATGCGCTACCCGACAGGTCTCGAACCGGAGTTCCCATTGTAGGACACACTAACATTAGATTCTATATACGTTTAACCCACTCGGCCACGAAGAACGTCGTCGCGTAACGCAGTGTAGAACGAGGTTTAATTGCCGACGTTCTTTGTGACCGTGTCGGTAAAAAGCACATAGAATCTAGCGATGGTTTCTCCTGTAAATGGGGATGAAATTTCGAGTCCTGGTGGAGCGCACTTTTTTTTTCAAGATCTCTCGAATATTCAGTCCTGGAGATAAAAATAAAGATACTATTTTAAAAAAAAAACAAAAAAACAAAAAACAAAAAAAAACGAAACGTCTGCTGTAAAACATGGATATCGACTAAAAATTGTGTTTACAGTGATAAAAACGTAGATTTACAGTTTTGATTGAAGATGAACGGAATATTTTTCCATCAGGATTTTTTAGTTAATTTTTCAACAATTCGAAATGTTACGGTAAATCTTTCGTAAATACACTCAATATTTTCCCATATAATTTTTATTAATACATTAAATAGGATGCAACAATACAGAAAGTGGAAGGTCAATCAGATTTTAAAATTTATGGCAGATATTACGATTTAAAAAATCCTAATTCTATATTGTTCCTATCTGTTCACCGCACAAAATGAACATAAACATTGTTTTTTGTTGTTGTTTTTTTTTTTAAATTAAAATGATTTTGTATTTTTTTTGTTTGTAAATGTTTTCTAAGATCAGACCGAACATACATTTATATAAAAATTTAACAATCTATGGTTTCTGAAAAAAACAGAAAATATATTTTCTGATTTATTTTGAAAATTACTGGCAGTAATGATTTTTAGCAATTGATACATAAAAATATTTAGCATCTTGTTTATTTCTCAGTTTCAACAATATTTGGGCAGCGACATAGCATCGTGAATGTTACCCTGATATTAGGAAGTAAAGAATGCCGAGTGTTCTACTGAATGGAAATATCTTTATCTAATTACCTAAAAGTAAACAATGCTGTTCATGAACCCTCGAAATGACACTTTGAAAGTAAAACAAAATAACAGCGTCTGTTTCTAGCCTTTTTTTTACAAAAAAAATTAGTGATACTTTCTCTCACAACTTCCTTCTGTCTTGTTCTCTATGGGTTTTTTCTTCTCTACCCTTTCGATATCAATATATAACTTCCGTTAACCGTTTAAATGTGTCAACATCTGCTAACTCACTCATGTCTTCTCTCTCCCACTCACTTCCTCACTGCGTTAATTTATATATGTTTAATAAGGCCCGTCAAAAATGTGTAAATTTTTTTTTTCATTTTTTGTTTGGAAGTAAATTCTGATGATCCGCAGTCCTTTAAAAGGGATGTGGTGAAATAATTTATTACATGGAACCTTAAAATGGTCTGTTATTATTAAATATATATATATATATATATATATATATATATATATATATATATATATATATATATATAAGATTTTTTGTGTGTAACAATTGAGGGTTAGTATGCAAAATTTTGACACGAGACGCACAGATGTAAAGACCCCATTCACGTCCACACGCAAAAACTACCGCTCTGACTAACTACAAAGAGACCGCCCCAAATAACGGCGATACTTTTCACAGTAAGAAATTTTTTTTTTTTCTTGTGCGTGTGGAAAAATCCCCTTCTTTCCCAGATTGAAATTACACATTAAGTCTACGGACTCTCAACGATTATTCAGACCTTCCAATGTATGCAAATAATATTGTGTTTTGGGAACTTTTGCGGGAATATTTTTTTGGTAAAACATTTAAGACGGAATCTTTCCTTAAGTTTTTATAAATTCTACACTATTCAGTTATTAATGTTAGCATCGAACTAATTTAAATTACAAGGCTGTACTTGGATTAAACAAAAATTACTTACAATATAATACATATTACTTATAATAACTTCCGTCTTGCCTTCAATTTTGAAGGCACGGGTACCTGAGATATATATATATATATATATATATATATATATATATATATATATATATATATATATATATATATATATATATATATATATATATATATATATATATATATATGTATATATATATATATATATATATATATATATATATATATATATATGTATATATATATATATGTATATATATATATATATATATATATATATATATATATATATACATATATATATACATATATACATATACATATATACATATATATACATACATACATATATATATACATACACATACATATATATACATACACATTAATATATATATACATACACATATATATATATATATACATATACATATATATATATACATATACATATATATATATATATATATATATATACATATATATATATATACATATATATATACATATATATATATATATATATATATATATATATATATATATATATATATATATATATATATATACATATATATATATATATATACATATATATATATATATATATATATATATATATATATATATATATATATATATACATATATATATATATATATGTACATATATACATATATATATATATATATATACATATATATATATATATATATATATATATATATACATATATATATATATATATACATATATATATATATATATATATATATATATATATATATATATACATATATATATATATATATATATATATATATATATATATACATATATATATATATATATATATATATATATATATATATATATATATATATATATATATATATATATATATATATATATATATATATATATATATATATATATATATATATATATATATATATATATATATATATATACATATACATATAAATATATACATATATATATATACATATGCATATATATATACATATATATTTACATATGTATATTATAAGATATATATATATATATATATATATATTATATATACATATGCATATATATTTATATATATATATATATATATATATATATATATATATATATATATATATATATATATATATATATAATAAAAGCCCAGTGACCTATAGCCTTATATTTCTGCTTTCCCTGTTAATATTCTACGAACAGTTCTATTTGGTTGTGGTCGTACGACTTGATGGATAATACTTGTATTATAAGTATTTTCCATCTCCGGTTAAGATAAACGATAAGGTTGCCGTTTCGTCTACACATTTTATTAATAATGTCTAGATTCATAACTCAAGAACCATGGTAGATGTATCAGAAATATTCGATAAACTGATCATTTCAAGGTTTAGAAAAGGACGAGATAGATTCTAACGAGAAAATAGTGAACCGATTTTCCAAATAGAAATCTTAGCAATTGATACAATATAATCGTCAATGGAAAATGTGAAACAAATAAACGGCAATATTTTGTTATCCTGGAATTTAACATCAGCCATGCCAGGGAAAGAAAGCTAATTTAATGTAAACCCTGTTTGAATCTAATGTGTTGTTCACTTTTCCTCTCAGCCCTTCAAGAAAAGCATGTATCAAATTCTTTCTAATGTACCACACGGCTAGAATTGTCAGAGTTCACTGATATTATTTTTTTTTCATTCACAAATCTGAAGGACAAAACTTAATTTCAAACTAGGCCCTCTTCATATATTCTGTGATATATATTTTTTTAACGATTGTTATATTCATATCTACGGCGATTGTCTATTTCGTAACATGCTCAAAATCGTTCATTTATACCATCCTTGGGGTCATTTCTCGTCGGGGCTTAATGACTATTACTATCCTTTACCAAGCCCGGAAGAAATTTTCTGAAACTAAATGGAGGGAATTTTTTTTTTTTCAAAAATCTACCTCACTAATGCATATCTACAAATACCGGTAGAGTTAGAATATTCTAAGTTGCTCTACATCAATACCCATCGTGGTTTGTACAAGTTCCAACGTCTACCTTTCGGCTCAAAGTCGCGCCGGCAATTTTCCAACAAGTTATGAACACTATGCTGAGCGGTCTTGACTTCGCGGTCGCATATTTGGACGACATACTAAAAACAGCCAAAATGTAGAATAACACAAGGAAGATGTTCATGAAGTCTTCTCAAGAGATATAGAATTACTAATTCCCAAACTCTACACACACATCGGTGTGTGGTTACTTATAACAAATTTAGTGTAGGAGATAAGGGAATAGCAAAAAGAATAAGCTGTTCTAGAGATAATTTCGCCCAACACCGCAAGTTGGTACAAAACCAAAACATTAAGCTTAAAATTCCAGTCATGTTATTAAATATTATAGTCAGATCGCCCGAGACATGCATGGCGCCAAATCCGTTGAGAAATACTTAAACTTTCAGCTGTATACAACCGCTTTCTAAAATCAATGGATAAAAATGTCTTCTGCGAGCGAAGCCTGTAATTCTTGGCAAAGACCATACATCTTCAATAATTCAGGGCCGCCAACAAAGAACCGTACCAAATGAGAGAAACTACTTTAGTTGAGAACCTAAAATCAGCAACAGCGTAAATGGATATAACGTGTGACTTGAAGAGAAAATAATGCTGTAATCAATATGTTGACATTCCACACGACTCCAAACCAATGGTTAGGAAAGAAACTCCCATCAAGATTGGAAAGAAACGATTTCAGCTACTGGGCTTGAAAAGCCTGTCTTCCTGACAAATCGTTTTAAAGATTTTTATAAGTTTCATCCAACTGTTACACTGGCTGTTCGCTCAAGGAATAACGAGTATTTCCTTATGAGGAAATGGCTAATATTAACATTACCATTATCTCATTGACAGCAATACCCGGAGTTTCTCAAATGACAATTCCTTGCCATATTAGCTTACCGTAGTAACAACGTGATTTCATTAATCAATAAATGTATGTCTGCCTCTCTTCAAGTCTTTCACTGTACGTTTGTGGTAAATGGGCAGCATTTCCTTCCAATTAAGTGTTGCAACGTAACAACCAGCCTATATCTAGGTATTTTGGTTAGATAGAGGTATCGGACTCGAGAGAAATCTGTTAATCGCATGGCCATCTGCAAGGATGAAGAGAGAAGATTGCCAAAAGCAGTCGTCTGGCTTGGTACGCCTTCGGGCTTCTGTTTATAATGACTACTGTCGTCTGATAACCGAACGCTGGGTAAGGCACGGTAAATTACAGATAGCGGTAGAGGCGTCAGGGTAAGAAGTAAGTGAAAATAACAGAAAGGGGTTTAAAACGATGGAGATTGAGAGACTGTATATAGTTTAGAGATATGACGAAGAGAAGAACAACAAAAAATAGCAAAGTGAACTGAGAGAAAAGAACAAGCTAGGCATTCTCTTCGAAAGAGAGGAAAGAAAAGGTAGAACGAATCTGAAACAAGAGAAACGCAAAACAGCGGTTAATTTAGACAAATAAACAGCAACATATTTAGAAAAGAGCCCGAAAAGTTACATCTATGCTTATATAACAAAAATAAAATGTATTAGGCTGTTCGAAAAATAATATCTCATTTTAGAATAAAACTTTTAATTGCGTTCTAATATGTTATTACAAAAGTTTCACACGATATATTCAGTCAGTTATGTGTCATGCATGATACACGGTAAGGCGATAATGTATATTTCGATACATAATTGACGAGGCAGATATTTTTCCCCCAGTACGTTGCCATTTTTTCTGCGATAGACTAGTTGCCATCACAGAACTCGGTCTGTCCTGCTATTTAGCATAGCTGGGGGAAAAGAGGATTCATACCTTTCCCAGGGGTATTAGCACGTAAGTGAATGTAATGGATTTGACTGGAATTCGAACTTGGCTCTCCGATTCCTCAATCCGAGCCGCTATCCATTATTCATTCCTAATAATTAAAATATTCTCTTTGTTAACTTTATATCAATCTTTTATAAGAATTTAACTTAAAACATTATATGCTTCACATCTTGTATATGAAAAATGTAGATATATATACTTGTTTTTGCTGGAGTTCAAGATTGGACATAATATTTGTAAAATTGTTGCCAACGTTAAGCGTTTATGTGGCGAAGAATCCACTTGAGATCAGGCAGTTCGGTTGATTTTGTTTAGCGACATATCAAATTCTATTTGTTAATTAATTCCGAAATCTAAATAGTTTGAACGCAATTTTATAGCTTTAACTAAATATATTTTGAATGCAATAGTATGCTTTGAACTACAGATAAAATGTATTGTTGTCATTTTGCTATATAGTGTAATGTTATTTATTTGACTGTAGATATATGTTGTTTTAGATCATTTTTTTTATATAAACATGTATTGCTGGCATTTTACCATGAAAATATAGTTTTATACGTTCATAGTGATTTTTCTTTTTAGCTAGACCCCTAAGAGAGTTGTGGACCTAGGAACAACGACAATTAAGAAGTGTCTCCACACTCCTCAAAATCTCCAATCTCCTACTCAGAAGCCTTGTTGCCGGATGTAGTTTACTTTCATACCCAAGAAAACGGCAGCACGGCAATGGATTTTTAAGTTCCGCGGTAGGGATACGTGGTTCGAAGACCAAGAAGTCACTCTGCAATTGCCAATCAACATCTGGTAACACGAGCCGAATAAAACCAAAGTCAGTCTGTTATGAGATAACTGTAGTTATTTTATTGTTCTTATTTTATGAACATTCGCGATTCTGTAAATACTTTAGGCGAAATCGTATTCATTTATTTCACTCCTTTGTCCAATCTCTATCCCATGCATCAATTAGATGCAAATCATTTCAATAAGGACCCTTTCACTGTTCAATCATACCTTCTCGCTCATTATAACCCATTTGATATTTTGGAAAATGGGTTTACACAATTTTGTACGATATTACCCCCAAAACTGGACCAGTAGAAGTTCGATTACAGCAGAAAGATAGAATGACGCTGGGGCGGGCTATAAGTTATGGTTCTGGGGCTTAGATCATATATACAGACTACGACGGATAAATTGTCGAATAAATTACGCAAAAATAATAATGGCATGTCATTTTAACATATATTTACCAAGATTACGCCAAAATACTTTGAAATGTTAAAGAGTAACTTTATTCAATGATATGACTTCAACCTCCAGAAGAATTCGTAATCTCCTACATCATTTCTGAACGGTCTCGTTGTTTAAATTGGTCAATTCAACCATAATCCTTGACTTCAGTTCATCTTTCGAAATTCAACTAGTTATGTTGATGTCTCGTTCAATTGCACACCGTACATCGAGGGGATTAAAATCTAGGGAATTGTGTGGTCAGACATAAGGGGTGATGTGGTCGAAGAAATTTTCTGACAGTCATATATATATATATATATATATATATATATATATATACTCCATTATATGTGCGTGCGTGTGGATATAACTTCATGTACTTTTTCCCCTTTTACCTCGTCTCCCACTCTCATTTTTTTTCTTTCCATCACTCCTCCTCAACTGCACACCGTACATCGAGAGGGTTAAAATCTAGGGAATTGTGTGGTCAGTCATAAGGGGTGATGTGGTCGAAGAAATTTTCTGACAGTCATATATATATATATATATATATATATATATATATATATACTCCATTATATGTGCGTGCGTCCGTGTGGATATAACTTCATGTACTTTTTTCGCTTCTACCTCGTCTCCCACTCTCATTTTTTCTTTCTATCACCCCTTCTCGCCTCACTACCAATATAAGTATAATTGTGAGTAGATTTTGAGAAAAAACAATTACTTGCTAGCCATCTCAATAGAAAGTGTGGTTTCAACCAGGTAAGTGTTACTTATATTTTATATATTAATTGGCCCTACATTTTCGATCTATGAAAATAGTCTTGAGCAATTTTCTTTTTGACCGTTCAATGGTGAATATCATTTTTGGCATATATATATATATATATATATATATATATATATATATATATATATATATGTGTGTGTGTGTGTGTGTGTGTGTGTGTGTGTGTGTGTGTGTTCAGCTGCGTGATGAACCTAGAACAACAACTAGCCATGGGACAAAAAAAAGGCAAGGAATATTTATCAATCTAGTTTCACATTACAAAATATAATAAACGCCCAACCAAGGCCTTCGCTAGACATCAACGGCTTCTCCAATGCAGAGATATTTGTATGACATGTTGCTTCTTTCGATTGATCCGTGCCTTCATTTATTTAAGAGAAGTCTAATTGATATTGGTTTTGTTTTCAATGAAACATATGCATTTATTGAATGCAAGTTATAAAAACATTCAGACAGAAAAAGTGCTTGCTTTTCGCTTTGATTAAAAACCGAACGCATAATGAAACAGGCGTATTCCAGATACAAGTCTGAAGCAATAACAATTGCTAGTTTAGCTGAGTTTGGGAAATGCAAAATAGTGAAATAAAAGGGTTAAATAAGAAGATAATTTGTCGTCAAATTGTGATTAGTTGTTTTGAATTAAGTTTCATGCCTTCATTAAGGATGACACCCCTACCTGATCTCTGAGGTCTTTTGACATAAGTGTATCTTATTTATAAAGGTTACTTAATAGGTAATCCATGGTGTTGCCTCTGTCAGTTCCATAGCGACGTTAAGTTCTTACGATATGGATTTGCCAGCTATACGCCCAGCTGGTTTTGAATCCATTGTCCTAGACTGGAGACCAATTAAAGAACTGTTTATTTTGCTATATATTCTATAGCAGAAAGAGAAGACAATAAATAATACCTCTCTCAAGTGTATTTACGTGAAAGTAAATACAACTTACACGGACGGAATTTGAGCTGATTCCGTTTTCAGCACCGATAGCCGCTATTCTACCCCCACATCTGTATACACACTATCAAAAATAAAATATTCTATATTTGGCAAAAATCGTTAGCAAGTTGTCTAACAGATTCTTTTGGTAATGGTTTGTTGCTTTTATGTCTTATCAACTCTTTGGGTTTTATTTAAAAGCGAAAAATAATTTTGAAAATAAAAATATATAATATTTTTTTGCGAGTGAATATTGTTTTAACAATCTTTGAGGAAAGTATTGATTTTTGCAGATACAAGTCTTACTATTTAACCCATAGTTGGGGAGAAGTTGGGTGAATATATTTTTCTAAGTATATTTTTGTGTAAGTGAATGTAACGAACCCGATTTGTATTCGAACTCAGTATAGCGAGAAGCTGTCTGCACATTCATGCTCCTTTCGATAACCTTCACAGGAACCCTAGTAACAATTCAGCAGAAGTTTCGTAAGTGAGTTTCAAACCCAGCGAACGGGCTATCTTCTTGAAGTGAAATAAACACATACTGAAATTTTCTAGGTGAGATGTCAATATTTCAAGGTCCAAGAATTACCTTAACTGTCCAAATAATATTTGAATCGGCATCCTTCATTAAACAGTAACATCAGCTAGTACCAAAAAACTCATCTTACAGAATAAGATATTAAATAGGACTTTTCTGGACGAACCTTTTGCCTATCAGGCATGCAATGTGTTTGTGAGCTTCAGTTGTACGTAGATTCTGCCGGAAATTCCTGAGAAACTGATTCTCTTGAAGATACTGTTTCGTGAGTTTGTAAACAAAAACATGGGTTTTTCTCAACAATTCTTAACTCTAGGGCAAATTTGAAAAATTCTTAGGTGATCGGCAATAATCATATTTAGACAAATCTTTCGGAACAGAAATAAAAGTAAGTTTTTTGTTGCTACCGATAATCAGCCGATAAGTGATCAAAACTTTAACGTTAACCCAAAATTTGACAATCTCAATAAAAATTGTTTCGAGAGTAAATGCTTAATAATTGGCATAAAAAAGAACTAAGTGTAATCAATGCAAAACATTATCTGCACAAAGAGAAAAGCGTACTTTTTGCTGTGAGAAAAGAAGTATGAATTTAATTGGCGTCAAGTAATATTCCTGACAAATGCACTGAACGTAGATAATAATCACAGTAGAAAGATTTAAATTAAAACAGTAATACTACCATCAAAAGTAAGACTTTTTTTTTTAAATACAATTAAACACTTCCAAACGCTACCAGAATTAAGACCATAAAACAAATGTTCTACTATTAATTAGACTCGTCACTATAAATGCTTACAATTTAATACTCACAGGACATCTTCAATGCAGGACAAGCTAATGAAAACAGCGAGGTTACTTGCTATATGCTAACGAGGTTACTTGAGTGCATGGCAGAATGGTGACAAAAAGAAATGACTTTAACGTTGCTATAGCAAAATGGAGGAGGTTATGGAGAACATGGGTTACCCACCTAAAATGAAACACCAAATAATAACAATAATTGTAGTAAAAAAATGAACCAGTGAATAAACTTATCCCAAAGATGTATTGCCCTTTACTCTGACTACTCGTCTACTGATGGCTCTAACA